GGGCGGGGTGGGAGGTGTTCCTACAGAATGAAAAGGCATTTTAGAAGTTTCATGGTTGATCTTTTCCTTTCTCTGCAGAGATAAACAGAATGCTCTATTGAATTCAGGATTTATGGAGAATTATTTAAGAACCTCAGCAGGCCTGGAAAAGCTGTAAAGCAGACAAAGATGGTAGAAATCAGGGATGGGCTTCCATGTGAGGACTAAGTGGGCATGGGTTTGTAATTCTGAAAAAGGGTAACTGTGGGGTCTATGGAAGAAGACTGCATAGTCAAGCAAGGAAGTTGAATTGGTAAAAGTTATTAACTGTTCCTTATATGAAATAATGAGGTATAAAATGAAACTTGTTCAGAAGAAACAAGAGGAGCAGTACTGCAGTGTAGTTAGTCCGAGGAACTCATTGCCACAGGATGGTCCAAAGCAGCCTGTAAGAGACGATTTTGTCAAACCCAGGTAAGTGGCTCTTTCTTTACCTTACAATTGTCATTAATTGACAGAATATTTCAGTGGTAGTGCTAGGGTTAGTAGACATGCCTGTCTTATCAGCACTTGAATTTTGCTTAGTGAGGCCTCTTTTGCTTTCCATGCAAAGAAAGATGTTTCTAGAAAAGTAAGTAGCAAAGATTACAACATTGCAGTGGTTGACACCTGGCTCAAAATGAATCACAGCTCTATAAACACATATTCAAACGGGTACCTCTCTGTTTACCTCCCTCAGCACATGAGAATGGGCTTGATTGCACAGGAAAGCCCTATAACACTTTTCAAGAGAAGAAAGTAATGTTTGCTAATACAAACTGCTTCTTGTGGCTTATCCAGAGATACAGCACAACCTCAAGCTAATGCCTGAGGAACTGAAAGTCTACCACCAATACACAATGTCTCCATCTGCTGATTGCTAACACAGATTTCCATATCTTTTTGCATAACCCAATGGAAAGCACACTGCTGATGTTGTGACAGGTGAATGCCTGCTTCCAAGTGGGAAACAGACCTTTTGTTAAATCTGGTCTCTAAGTACAGCATTGCCTAGCAACAATAGGAAACTGAGACAAGCCAAAGCATCAGAGAACATTTCACCTAGTGCAGCTCAGGGCTTGGGTTTTTTTGTTTGGGTCAGGTTTTGTAGATTTTAAAAGAATCTACCTCAGTTTAGTCCTCTGAAAACAATATTAGTTGATTTATATCATATCACTAGAGAAGCAAATGATGTTCTTACAAGAGGAGTGTCAGGACATTTCCCAGAGAAGAGCACTGGGATCAGTTTCACTGATTATGAAGAAATTCAGACCCAGTAGTGAACGAAATGGAAAAGTTCCTTATCTATTTGTGTCTTTTGTTACAGCTTTGTCCTAAATCTTCATCATAAGGAGTCGTTAGCATCATACATATGCCGACGTTAGGCCCACGGCACTCCAAAGGTACATCAGCATGGCAGCACTGCTATTCTTACTCTCATTCCTTGTAACAGCACTCTCTCTTCTGTTCTTCTTTCCAAGAGATATTGCAGAGTATGAGCTCAAGTTCAGTAATGACTAATTCAGAGTTTACTGCCCCAGAAAATTCCGGGTTAAATAACATCACATTGGCAAGAGTCCATGTAGCAAATAACTTTGTTAGCACTTTTATGCCAGCAGCACTAAACCCCTTTACACAGCCTTGGATGTGAAATCATGGATATCTTGAACTGCTGTCTGAGTGATCTATGGCTGCTCAGCTAGATTTCCTGTATGCACTGTTTCCCTATACTGAAAAGTCCAGGCCACATTTTGTTCAGCATTGACTTGCCAGAAAAAAAAATCTTCCTCTCATATGTATGTAAGAGGAATGCAGAGATAGAGGAACTGCATACAGTCTTAATATGATTACTGATGTGTATTTTAACTGTTGAGAAAATGAGGCTTTCCCAAAAAAGGGTTTGCTTTCTCTATATATGTCTAGGGAATCTGTATTTTAAATTGGATGAAGGTAAACTCTTAGGCTGAGCTCAACTGCCTCAATATACTCTAGTGCCAACTGCAGCACATTGGTTTCCTGAGCCCTCAAACACCTTAACCTTTCTGTAACTGCAGCTGGAGGCCAGATGAGGTAGCACAGGGCACATCAAGTGGCACCAGCCCACCCTGGCAGGCAAATGCAGAGCCCTCTGTCATCTCTGAATCTGGTATAATGTAGGGAGCTCTGACTCAATTTCTATTTGCTTATAATATAATGCCAAACATCTCATCAGTGCTCTACCAACATTTAAGCCAGGGCATACAAATTTGGACTCTTCTGTTAGGTTTAGTCTGCCCTGCACTGTTTCAGAGACATTGAGGAGCAAACTGTAAGTACACGTGGCATCCTGCTTGTGGAAAACAAACTCTGCTGTAATATTAAGCAGTCAAATCAGCAGGCAAATACACTGGGTTTCAGCATGTTCTTCAATTTCTAAATATGAAATACACAGGAAAATCAAAATGTATGGCACTTTCTGGGTAGGGCAGCACAAGCTCTAAATAAAGAGGCATGGAACATTGCTGCTTATACACTGAAAGCACATCTGTGACTGCTGTGAAACACCCAGCCTGATGCTAAACTTGAATCAACTGGGTTATTAAAAACAGCACAACTGGGTCATCAGTGTACTGAGAGTAGACCAATTTATCATGTCTCCCATGTAAGTTTGCAGCCTGCCCTAAGACTTCTGCAGTTGTAAACAGACTGCCATTGAATGGGAGTTAGGTGATATAAAGCTTATGCAGATAATCTCTGCACTGTAGTTATTGAACTACCAAGGTGCTCTAGATTTGTGTTATGTTTAGATCAATCAAGGAGGATGCTAAAACTTATATCTGGATTCAGGGACTTAAGCTTCTTGATTTGGTCTCAAAAAATCAGAAATTTTGTAGAACCTGCTCTGCTTGAGAGATGCTTACCGTACTGGATTAAATGCTTAAAAAAAGTGCAGTTTGTTATATCTTTATCTAAGAAGAAAATAAGCCCTTTTTAGATTAGAACTTGATATAAAACAGGAGGGAGAGGTTTTTGGTGCACTATCTGATCTCAGAGGTGTGATGTTAGTAGGCTACATAGCCAGCCTTGCCAGCTTCCTCCTTCTGCATCATCCTCTTGATAAAGGGCCAGTCCTGATTGATTGATGTATTGCAATATTGAGTACTACATCATCTAACTTCTAGACACCTAAATCAGTTAATGGACTTGATAGAAGGCTAGTAGCTAGTTATTTTGTATTTGTGCTGAAGCGTTGGTTTAGAGAAGTCTACACTCTTCATGAGATGCTCACTCAAAGTAGGCTCCTTTTTGTAACTTAAATACCTTATTATCACAGAATCATAGAATTATTATTATGTCCTGAAGAAAGGATTTACAACCTGAAACACTTTCCTGAAGGTTGGTCCCAATTACTTTTCTCTCAGCAGATGAATGATGATCTCCTTCTACCAATGCTCTGGGTTAAGTTCTCACTGCCAAGCCTCTCTTCTAGTCTTTTTTCTTCCTAAGCAGATTGTTGGTCATGTTTTCTTCCTCTCTAAGAGCTCTTCAGCTAGTAGGCTGCAGCACATTTAATTCCGTACATTAGGAACTAAAATAGTTTCAGAAACTTTTTTTCTAGAAATACGGCATCTGAAGATCCATAGCCATATGACATATCCTCCTCTTCCCCCCACCCTGCTCCCCAGCTATGCTGTAGATGAGGAGAAATTTTGAAGGTCTGCTTTTGGTTCTAAGCACAGAAAGGGGGATTTAGTCTTTCTGTTCCTAACAGTTTAACTGTATTGTCAACATAAATCATGCTTTGCTCTTGATTTATAATATGAAACACACTCTTTTTTTTTGTCTAAAATACTTCAGAATTTTTTATCTTTAAAGTTTTTCTTGTTGTTATACAGCAACAAGACCATGCAAAAGATGTAATGCTTCTGAATCAACATTTTCTTTGAGCGCTGTGCATTGAAACTTACTTATTTTCCATTATTTGTCTCTCCGCAACAAGACAAAAACTCTTATAAAACAGAACAATTGTAATAGTATTCTGAAAAGTCCAATTTATATGGTACAATGTCACAAAAGACTATCTAAGAAAAAGCAGAATGGCCATACAAACCTACTAATATGCTTTAGAAACTCTTTGCAGGATCTAGAACAACACACTCTTAAAACTCCAAATACATATTCACTGTGTGTTTTTAAAGAAAACTTTATAAATATGCAAATTTAAGATGAACAAATACAGAATAAAATGCACTAAGAAACTGATATGTAGACAAAGGTTTATTTACACCATACAACATTTTAAATATTTTATACACAGCTGCAGCAGAGAAAGCTACTCTGAGCTTTCCAGAGAAAACTGCAATAATAAAGATGTGAAATATATTATTCATATAAAAGTGAGATTATTACTTTATTGCATTTAAAGCAATGAAGAATGTAGCTCAACAGACATTCATTTAATGACAAAACCTTTGCTTTTATATTATAAAGTAAAAAGTGTAGTAATGGCCAAACAGACTGTTATAAACTTTAAAAACTGCATAAATATATACATTGTGCTTCATGGTGAAGTTTTTTGAAAACTAAACCAGATGAAGCTGTTACAACATGAATCGTTGCTTGAGGTTTATCTATAAAGATTACCTTACAAATCCATTCCACGGGTACTTACAACACACGATGGTAAGAATTGTACACCTGGTTCTCCACTAGCTGCACTAGTGGGAATATACTGTACGAAAAAACCACTGACATTGGCACAGGAAGAGCCTGACATAAAGTAGTCACAACGTTCAGAGAGGAGCGTCAGGATTCCCAAAGTCTCTTTATTGTCAGTGCAATGAATCATTTTTGTTTTGTTTTTGTTTTGTTCAGTTTGTTTTTGTTAAACTTCTGTTTGAAAGTCACCTTCTTGCACATCTAAAGGCAAGTTTAGACACTTCTCCCATTCTGCTGGTCTGAGTTCTAAAGCATCTTTTGCCTCTGTGTCTAATACGTTTATCGTTGTGTAGTGTTGGTAGTCGCCTGTGGTTTTGAAACTGTCCCATGGAGCCTTGCTCGATGCTGAGTTCTCCTGAAGACCAAAGAAAGAAGGATTAAAACCAAGGATAAAATAATGTATTTTCCATTTATACGGTTGATCACTAACGTGCTCGCATGAGACACAGAAGCCAGAGAAGGGAAATGGTTTTGCAGGGAGCCAGGCTGGCGAGTGTTCAGCACCATTGCGACTCTTTCTCTGTGAACAATCAACTGTTTGGCAGGCTCCTCACCTGAAATGCCAGCTAAGCCCTTTCCTTCACAAGAACAATGTACATGAGGAATGGCCGAGTGATCCAGTACCAATAGCCATCTTTTTAATAGCAGTTTTGTAGAAAACCAGAAGAGAAGGGAAGGTAACTGAGAAGAGCTTGCTTCCTGAAATATGGAGTGGTTTGAAACAGAGATTGCCAGCTGGATTTTAAATTGGGGCAGGTGCATGACAGAACCACGGAAACCTAGTCCTTGAAAATGCTGTGAGAGCCACCTTGCTTTACAGGTTGATGAGCTCATGTGTATTAGGATTAACAGGCTGAAAGCTGGTTATTTTATACTGAATAATTTTTTTTTTGAATACTAAGTTTTTTAAGGTAAAAGACATTATGGACTAAGACCAATTTAATTAGGGAATTAATTACAGACTAAGACCAATGTAATTTCTTCTGTAAGGTGTTGGGTAGGACTTAGTTCTCAAAACCTAACACTTCTGCACCATTTTAAATGCCTTTGGATTTTCTGCCTGATCTCCAACTATCTTTCATGAGAGGTGCAGGTATCCTTTGAGTCCTGTGTCATCACTGCCTGTACTATGCTGTAGACTAAGACATCTGAGGCTGTCTAAAATAGCCTGAGATGCCTATATTTAGGTACCTGGATCATTCTCTGACTGTCTTATAGACAGACCATTCCTCTAGGCAGCTTTTATTAGCAGACCTTTCAAAAACATAGCGCTGATGCGAAACAGAGTAAACACAACTCTTCCACTGAGATTCCCTTTGAGATTTTGAATTAATTCAAGCTTTATGTGGACAGCAAATCTCAAACAGGGAGGCAAATGCAAACTTTACATCAGCACATCTCAGAAGGGGGAGTGAGTGAGAACTGGGTGCAAAATAACACATATCACAGCTAAAGGTTCATCAAAGAATCAGGGCTGGATTAAGATGATGTAAATGATGTAAATCCATTGGCCTCACATCTGCTTAATACCTCTTCTTCATGTCTGAGAGCAGCTCTTCTGAAAAAGTTATAGAATATAATGATTCTATCTCAGTTCCATTTAATATACAAGTTTCACATTATAAAATTATATATAAAATTATTACTAATCATAATATTACTGCTAACAAATACGTCACACTAAATTAGCTGTGTTAATTAGGCAGAATCAACTATTTCCTTGTTCTCATTATCAGATGTAGTCAGCGTGTTATGCATGTGTGTGTATGAGTGTGTGTGTATATAAATTTGAATTATGATGATAGCAGAATCAACTCAGGATGATTTAATTTTTGCTTTTCCCATGGTAAATATTTATAAACCTATTATGGAAAAGAGATGACATTACAGAGACTCTGTGTGCTCTCTGGACCGTCTCACGTATAGGTGAATCTAGCTGGGCTTGTTTGTAGTAACTAATTTAATATCTGCTTGCCTAGCTAGAGGAAAAGCCCTATTGGCCAAATTACATTAGCGAGCTGCTTTCTCTATACAAAGTCCTTTAGACTTGGTAGGCATATACAGATTTGAAATGTGCTCCCTACAGTTCAATTACTTGTCATCTATAATGATGTCAGTGAGTTAGTTATGGTCTAGTTGTAAAACCTAATGAGTCTCGTCATAGGTTAGATTACTGAAAATATCTTTTGTTCTAATTTCTGAGGCTATCTAAAGGTAGTGTAGAGTGAGGTCTTCTCAGGAAATATACTGAATTCAAAAGACTCTTCATTGTTGTTGTTTAGGAGTCATTGTATTTTAAATATTTAAGAAGGAAAACTTACCATACTGCCTGATTTTGGTACATCCCGAAATCTGTCCAGTGTCTGAAATTTCTGATTTAACTCTTGAAATAATTCCATGTGCCTCTTTCTTGTATGCATGACCTTCTGCAAAATGGAACATAATTGCTTATATTTATAATTGAATCTGGGCTTTTTTAAGAGAAGCATTTTTTTCCCCAATGTAATAAAGTAAATTGAATTTGGCAGGGCCATCTTTTCCCTATAGACTTGACCAATGGAAATGCATTGCACTGAGTCTTCTCTCTGCTCTGTTTAATGTTCTTTGTGTGTGTAAGAGACTGTTTTTGCCCCGCATTTACTCAGTTGCTGAAATTAAGGGATATGGACTGGGTAAATGGAAACCATCCTCCCTCTAGCCCATGCACAAGACACTGTTCCACAAAAACTTATTATATGGCACTCCTGTGCAAGAGATGGAGACCCCAACCAGCCCCCACAGTTGGAGGAGACCCTCGGTCATGTGTCTGCCTTGGCAGCTACACGGAGAGTGAAGCCTGTTTTCAAGCCTAGAGTGTCAAGTGTACCATTTGCAACGTTTCCATACAGCTCACACCCAGGTATGGATTCAGACTGGCCTCTGGAGCCAGGCCAAAGGCTCACTGTTCAACTAATCTCATGGTTCTGAGGTCTGGGTGGACAGGAGGGACTGAGGATGCTTCACCTCAGTCCAACACCAGATGGGCTCAGCTTGGCTTTTCTTAAGCTTTTGTAACTGCTTGAACTTGAGTTACAGCCAGGGTAACAACCAATAGATAGAAAAGGTGCAGGACACCAGACTCTATGCACGTCCACTAACTGTCAAGCTTGATTTTCCCTGGCTTTGTACGTGATAAACCCTGCAAACTTAGTACGCAGGGCCTGAGTGTGACCCTTCCCAGCAAGTAATGCTTCTGCCAAGCCTGGGTTAGTACCTTTTAAAATGGAGTGGCAGTAGCTGACCCTCAAATAATGCTTTACCAATGCAAAATTTAACTTTTATCTTTCGTTTCCATCCTGTATTTGTAAATTTCATTAAATGTGGCTGCTCTCTTGGCCATGAATTTCTACTGCTATGCTGTAATAACCATACCGTCTTTAATCAAGCTACACCACAGCTTGAGAACTTGTTTCACTTCTGAGAACAGGAAATTGGCAACATTATTCACCAAAGAGACATGAGATACAGCAAGCAATTAAAGACCTATTAATTTCACGTGAGTTGTGGAGTGAATAAGGGAAACAATTTTGCAGGATTTGGTGAGGAACTCCTTGCAAAATGTAATTTAACTAGATATAGCTGATCTAAATTTGTGAGGGAAGTTTCACTTAAGTGACTTCCTAGGGGTTCTTTTAAGATATTGCTCTTATGGTAGACAGGGTTATGTAGCAAATTTAATATACATAGAATTTAAAAACGAAAGGTTCTGCCTCAAAGGTTATTATAGGCTGAAATAAGGAGACATGCTGAAGGGAATAAAATAGATTTGGTGGGTTAAAATACTGGCTTTAAAAGCAGGAAACAGCATATGACTGTGAACCAAGTATTTCCAGTTGGAAACTTTTTAATAGGAGGCTGGGAATATAGAGTGCTACTTTCTGATATTTTTCTGTATCGTGTACCAAAGAATTCGTTAAATAGCAAATATGAATAATGCAAATGTCTTACTCAGTTCATTACATTATTCCTGAGGAGAAGCAGGTGGGAGGAGAAATTAAGCACTTGCAGTGGGAAGTCTGCCAGAAAAAAAGGCTTTAAACTTTATTCTTAATAGCAGAATGACTGGTATGCACATGTACCTATGGATCTTTTGGTTGCTTTGTGTTTTCCTGGCTTCCATTCCATAATTCCTACCCACTGACACCCGCCCCTCCCCATTTCTTATAAAGAATGATCTGTATTCAAAGTGCAGTGACTTAAATTTCCAATTTTAACTGTTCTTTTCTAGTCTTCTTTTAAATTCTTTGTTAGAAAGCATCATCTTCTCTCCTTTCTACAAAATATGCTCTGTTTGGTAACTCTCTTTTATGAGAAAATAATCCACAAAATATTTGTGGGGAGTTAATCAGTTTTCTCTATTAAATGGGCAATGTGGAAAACACAGCTTTGTCAATTTTAGGAATACCTAAGTTTTATCAATACAGAGCTGGAGATCTTGACCAATATACTAGGATGATTGTAGTAGCATCGGGACCTGAACAGGATGGAAAAGGATCTTCACATGCTGCACTTTGAAAGCACATCTTTAGATACAGCTGGGGATTTTCCCATTAATGCCACATCCCTTCCAGAAGCACCTGGATTAGCCATCAGGCTACAGACACATAGTTTCTTGTGGTCTTTTCTGCAGGCTCCATAACTCTTGTGCCCCACACCCTGAAAGGGGTCAGACTGAACTGACACCCCTTCCACATTTCTACACCCACTCACAAGTAACATCAAGTGTGTAGTTTGAAAAGACTAAGCCTTACTCTGATGAGCATCTACTGTCAGAAGAGGATTCAGTGTGGATGACTATCAGCAAGATGCGAAGAGCTTCAACTATAATCTCTACCCAACTCCCTTTTTTAGTTGTGACAGGGTTTTAGCTGACCTTTAGCTCAAGCACAAATATTCTCATGTAGATTTGTGGTCAATCTTATTAATAACAGTAATAACAATAACAACAACAACAACAATAATAATAATAACAACAACAACAATAATAATGTCATTCAATTTGCCTTGGAGATTTTCTGTATTGTCACAGGTAAAAATGTGCTCTCAAATATTGTACGAAACAGCTAAGTGAAAAGAACAGATGGGGGAATGCCTTCCCAGCCCTATAATGGAAACATGCTGTGTTTTCAAGATGTTATAGGTATGATCAGTTGCCAAACTTTGGAATGGGATAGGCTTTTTCCCTGCAGGCATATTTTTGTTCACCTTTGTCTTCAAGAGATGTCTTCAGGTTAGTGAGAGAATGATTTTAAACTTTTGCGTGAGTTTGTAATGTTGTTACAAAGAATAGCTATTGTAGATGAAATTCTGAAAGAATGCAACTCCAGCAATTAATGATCAATTTAGCATTATTACTGGTGAGAGTCTACTGTTCTGTGGAAAGAAAAGAAGACATTCTGGTGTTGATGCTTGTCCTGTGTATCCTTGCTCTTCCTCACTGGTGAAGCACAAAAGCAGCCAAAGATGCCTTGAATCCTGGGGAGCAGGGTAATAGGGCATTTTCTAAATTATTTGGCATAAATGTTATTACTAGAGTAGACCAAATTAATGCCTTGTAGAAAGAAGAGAGTGGGCTGGATGGCTGGGGAAATCCAGGAGTCAGATCCTCTCATAGAATTTAAAGATAACTGTGATCTTAAATCCTAAAATGCATGTCAATAATACTGTTTAACTTTCCTGTATGTCTTTTTAAGTGTCAGCACACACCTATTATAAAGTCCTCGTGGGAACTTCCACAGCATCTGTATTTCTGTTCAACATAATTAGAACAAATTTTATTTAATCTGGCAGCAAAGTATTAGTGCTGAACCTTCATGAAAAAGCTACCTGTCCAGCTTTAGGGAAAAACAGAACATAATGACTGGGGTTGGATGGAACTTAGCGGGGTTACCACAGCCAGCAGCAGCAAGGATTCAAAATGCCCAGAGCTATAATTGTGGTCTTGTTTTGGATATCAGATTGCATGAATAAGTCTAAACTAATCCTTGGTAATAGCAAGAAAAGAGCTGTAAAGCTGTTGCATGTTGACTGTTCATTTTAGCAAACTTCAAAGTTCAACTGGACTAGTCGGTGTTTTGCAAAATCTAATAGTGGACAGTATATTATGTAGCAGAAATACTCTCTGCTTACAGACTAAACCCAGTATGTTACAGTCTGTCTTCTTTTTTCTACATAAAGGCATAATTTAAGAAATTAATGCTAAACTATTTAAAAAGGGAAAACAAGATGCAGGTGGATCAGTTCTTGACAGCCTCCTCTCTAACCAGCTTAAGATTTCTGACAAGGGCTAGCCAGTTCGGATGTCATCTTTTTGTCTCTCCCCTTCCTTCCACTGGAGACATAAGCTTTCTATAAAGCTACCCAGCACAGTAACAGGACTTTTATTATTTATAGTCCATTGCAGAGGCCCTTTAAACTACACCTGTGTTTCTGCATATATTGGAGATAACAGTGACAGAGTACTTTATGGTGTTGGGTACAGTCATAGTCTCTCTATGTTCACACTACATAGCAGCTGGCTTTGAGTTTCATCTGTGGCCCTCAGAAAAAAAAAAAAGGTTTTCTTGTGTTTCTTTGTTTTTACTTCCAATCGTCTATTAAGGTGAGTGTTGCACTGCAGCCCATTAGCACAGTCTTTTTTTAAAAAAAAAACAACCTATGAAACCTTGACTACAGTAGTAAATCAAAGATATCCAACAGCGTTCTCTGGTACCATCTAGCATGGAATGTTCTCCATGAATGTTACTAAATTCTCTTATTCTCCAAAATAAGAAGTCTACAACCAAATTGCTTATTGTGACTGATACCTAGGTTGCACTGGTTAAGGACATTTCAGGAACTATTTGGAAAATCAAGGGGGGTCCAGACAAAAATAGTGAAGATCATTCTAAAAATTCATCCATATAAAACCTGGCATTTTGGCACCCAGGAATATTCCCACAAATGTCTAATTTAGATAAGCATAGACTGAGGGTTTGTCTTTTATGGATGTAGAGAAACATGTGAGAAGTTGAGGGTGTAGAGACTGCTAGGAGAGTGTTAAAATGAAAAGGATGGAGGGAGCCAAGCTTGACAGTCTTGTCCATACTGCATATTTAGCATTTGTTATCCTCAGAAACACATCCGTAGCTTTTGTTATCCTCTGAACTGTGGAAGGACGTTGTCTCAGAGACTGCCAGCTGCCATCGGTCACAGACAAAGCAGAGAAAGTGTTAAACATTTAAGTAGTATGGCCAATCACTCTAGTTCAACCTCACCTCCGCGCTCAGTCAAAGCTGCTTTGAGGTATCAGAATAGCAATGTTTTGGCCACACAGCACTCTCTCAATTCCCTTTATCAGTATGTCTTGCTGAGCAAAGGAGTCTATGTGGCTATTTGAACATTTTATGGCTTTTTAATTTTTCTTTACCTCAGGCAGACAGCCATGCTATGTGTAGGAACACAGGAAAGCCCACAGGCTTAATCAGAGGAACCATAAAACAGGGAGGTGAGATAGGGTTAGTGGGAGTCAGTACTTCTAAAACACAGCAGCAATTGGCATAGTATTGTTGCCACTCTCACTTCCTCAGCAGTCACTCCCAATGGCCCCATCTTCCCTTTTTACAAACAAGTATATTTTCCTGCACTGTAATCATACTTCTAAAAATGTTAGGCCATGGAGAAACAATGCTGCAAACAAGACAAGAAAAAGGTATAAGCATCTTAAATAAAATAACTATGTGCGTGAAATAAAATGTGTAATGGGAGGCTGGATTCTTGAGAGCCGAATGTGTATTGTATTGTTGGTGTTTATTTGGTGTCGGATTATGCTCTCCTGAGTGATAGGAAGAATGTTTCAGCATCTGTTGCCGCAGAGAATGTTCTCATTGTGAACAGCATGCTAGTCCTATGTTTCAACAAAGAAGAATAAAATTCAGAATTGTTTATATCATTATAATTATAAATCTTCTGTTCATACTGCTTGAACTTAATTTTAGAATTGCTTGCTCATCAGAATTCTCTTGTTAATTCATGTTTTTCTTCTTTCTTTCTATGTATTTATCCTAAAGCATATGTAGGGTAATCTTTTCATTTTATTTTCTTTAAACTTACTGTGTGAATCTTTGTCTGCTGCATTATCTAAGATGTTACATGACGGTTTAAGGTATCTATAGTCTCTGGGGGAAAATGACATAAGAGATTAAGGTGTGATGTTAAACTACCAAGAAACCACAATCAGACACGGAAGGTCATCATTTCAGCAAAAGCAGGTCACCAAAACAAACCCTTCTCTCATTGCAAGGCTTCTATGACTACTGCTATGGCTGCATTTTACTAGTTTTGCCTCTTTCTTTTCTATGGACTATAATCTGAAATCTGAAAGTATATGTGCTGTGCTTACAGACCATAATAATAAAAATGCTTTTGTTTGCACATGCAAACAGGGTAATTTTAAAAGTTATGGTTGATATATACTGCTCATTGAATGTTAAAGTTTAGCCCAAGATCTGTATTCCATGCAAATGTTACGATTGTTCAGCTTCTCTGGAGACACACATAATGATTTATATCAAACTACTAATGTGCACAAACAGACCTATGCAAAAATCACAAATGCACAAATTATTAACACCCCCTTGAAAACTAACTGCTGTATTGCTTCTTGAAAAGAGTAAAGAAAAAAAAACCCTGAATAAACAAAACTCTAAGAGACCTAAAATCATAGAATCATTAAGGTTGGAAAAGACCTTTAAGATCATCAAGTCCTACCGTCAGCCCAACATCACCATGCCCACTAAACCATGCCCCAAAGTGCCCTATCTACATGTTTTTTGAACACCTCCAGGGATGGTGACTCCATCACTTCCCTGGGCAGCCTGTTCCAATGCTTGACAACCTTTTCAGTAAAGAAATTTTTCCAAATATCCAATCTAAACCTCCCCTGGCGCAACTTGAAGCCATTTCCTCTTGTCCTATCACTAGTTACTTGGGAGAAGAGACCGACACCCACCTCACTACAAGCTCCTTTCAGGTAGTTGTAAATAGGGATAAGGTCCCCCTTCAGCCTCCTCTTCTTCAGACTAAACAACCCCAGTTCCCTCAGGCTTTCCCCATAAGACTTGTTCTCCAGGCCCTTCACCAGCTTCGTTGTCCTTCTCTGGACACGCTCCAGCACCTCAATGTTCTTCTTGTAGTGAGGGGCCCAAAACTGCACACAGTATTCGAGGTGCAGCCTCACCAGTGCTGAGTACAGGGGCACGATCACTTAAGAAACTTAATTGTACTGAGTGGTATAGAACAAAATGGTCATTAACTAATTCAACAGGGTCTAAGTCTGAAATTGTGGATATACAGTTGTGTATATCCAGTTGTGGATATCTTAAAGAACCTTACCTGAGCTTGATTTTTTTCATATTGCATGTGATCCATAAGTTTGGCAACTGCAGCCAAATCACTATTTGGATGTGAAACTCATATGCCAGTACATTAGTATTGAAGAAAGAGAGATAGAACAAATGATCTCCTGAACAAAGCAACCTTCTGCAATGGTGTGGCCTGTCCTACAGAAGTGTCACACTTTTTTGATAGCTAGCTAGCAAAAAAAAAACAAAACAAAACCAAAACCAAACAGAAAAACCCAGATGAAAATGAAGAGGCAGGAAATTTAAAAACTGAAACCATGATGGTTAATATTGCCATGTGACAGTTTGATCTCAGGATATTTTACAAACAAGTTGCACCAAAGTAGTTTTAATGAATTGCTCATCATGTTCTGTACAGTTCCAATTGAACAACCCTATGACATCTACTATGTCAGAAGGCTAAAATCTGCTAAAATGAACTCTTCACATTTACTTTTAGGAAAATACTTTTAATAATCAGGAATAATTCAGTAAAACTTACTTCAAAGTCAAGGTCCGAATAACGTGATTTTCTTCTCTATTAAGCAGTAAAAAAGAAAGAAAAAGAGGTTGCATTAACAAGGGGACTATTCACCAAATCATATTAATGAATCTAAATAACATTCTTGTTTTCCTATCAGATATATACTAGGTATTCTCTAAGAGGTTGTAGATTTTATCTTGATAATTCAAGATTTATGCATGACTTTGCATACAGATTATTAGAACAGTATCATACTCTTTTCTCTGAAATAAACCAGACTGCATATTTCACCAGGCTGCATAATATGCATGTTAGTTGCATGCAGTTGAACCTGTTGGTGTATAAAATACACCTATTTCTATACTTTCTGAGGTATTTGCAAATTATCATCATATTTATATTTTTTACACAGCTATCTATACATATCTATGATTCAGATTTTTATAGGTATACAGAAATTTATTCTTTTTTGCATCAGGCTTACATTGGTACAACTCCATTGATTTTAATGGAATAAATGATAACAAAATCAAGCCGAAGCCATCTACACTTCCCATAGCTTCAGCTTGTTTGTTTGCAATGACAATCTGGATGGAGAAAGCAGTGATTTTCTTTTACACTTTTGACAAATCTGATTCAAAGCATCTAATACAAAGCAAGAATGATTTACTAGTAATCATTTGTATACAATGCAGCAGAATATGGTTGCTTAGACATATCACAAATAGTTTAGCACAGAATTTTTTAGAGAGTCTAAAAGAAACCAATTATAAAGTCAAATTATATCAGAAAGAAGCAGAATTATTATAAAGAAGATATTAAAATATCTTTTTTCTCCTAAGGTTGAAAATTGAATGGCTTGCAACAGACTAAAGAGATGTAGAAACAGCAGTTGGAAGAGCTGAAAAAAAGAGTGCAAAGAACATGTGAACGGAAAGAAAAGATGCATTCTTCTTGATAGAAGGAGAGTTAAAGGAAGGGAAAAGTACCCCAAGAAAATAAAAAGGTCTTGTTGCTACAATTTAACCCTAATTTTTGTGGTAGGATAGAATGGTTTTAAGTCATTTTGAATGAACATATTCAAACTGCACCTAATTTCTGCAGTGAGATACAAATCAAACCCATTAAGTCAAGATGAATAATGTTACTGACTTAATTAGGCTTTGATTTGGTTTGATTTAACAAATATGCAGGTTTTAGCAAGCTGTTCTGTTTTCTTTCAATTGAAAGAAATAATTTTGCAAGTCCTTAAGTTGGAGAAAGCAGAAAATACTTGTTCTCTGAGACCTTCATAATACTACTCTGTAACATGTTGTCTGGTTTTGTGGTAAAATTTTGATGCTCCAATCCACAACAACATGAAGAATATCACTGTAGCACTGTCGACACACTCTGAAGCCTAAAGAGATGGGAGGCAGTATAAAAGAACAGCCTATGATATGATTAAAACAACCAACAACAACAAGCTTTGGAGAAGCTATCTTTAATCAGGAAGGCTTGATTTAACCTAGCACACTTTAAAGAGAGTATTTAAAAATAAATTGAACAATCTGCAAAAATAAGTATCATAAAACCATGGAGGCAGGAAAAATATGAGGACATTATGCCCAAATTCTTAAAGCTGCTAAGTTCTTACTTCTTATATTAAGAGGGCCGTGGTACAAGTGTACCTTTGACATTCCACAGTAAATCAGCACCTGAAGAAATCTATGTATTTCTAATGAGGAAAGATCTATTATTAAGGTGCAATTAGAGCACATCTACCACTGTAAAGGCTCAGTGGTTACAAAAGAAGAAACATGTACAGCAGATAATGAGGTGAAGTTTACAGAAGTAGTTTCGAAAAATGCTTGAAAAAGCTATTTTTAAGCTACAGTTCAGTAATAAACCTGCTATCATTGAACTGTCTGACTGAGAACCCTAAGTGAAAACATGGAAAAATTAGGAAAAAATGTGTAGTTTGCTGGATACTGTGATTTATAAAATTGGAGCATTTGTGTTTTGCCTTAAGTCTGCTTGATGACAGTGAAAATATTTCTGGTATAGCTGGATTGTTAGGTTTTGCAGCCAGAGAACTCTATCACTGTTTACATGGTAAAAAGATGTATCTAACAGACTGCAATATATTTAACTGTGCTATTGTCAGAAAGAGACAACATTTTTGCTGTTAGTTCACACCACTTAGGATCAAACAGGTCGTATCACAGATTTATCTCAGGATTTTTCTAGGGCTCAACAAGAATCTATCACAAACACATTTATTTTAAACTCCTATTGTAAAGAATGTCTGTTCTGTGCTTGTGCTTCACTGTTTTCATGGCTGCATACAGTGAAATAGAAGTGCTGTAGGAGCCTGTTCTCCTAAGACATAAAAAGCATGTAACTGCCACAGGTCTGAACAATAGCAGTGAAGTTCTGTGAGCTCCTGAAAAACAAAGGGTGCTGGTTATGGGTGATCCTGCCCCACTGAAAGTTATTTGCAATATTATCACTGACACCACCAGGTACACAAACAGGTCCTCCTGGCTACTACAGCATTGCCTTGAAATGACCGCGGTGTTATTTTGTTCAGAGAGAGAACATATTCAGAAGTCAGAAGCATGTCGTCATTGGGAATCTTAATTTATCAGGATGGAAGTTTCCCTTCAGTCCCAACTGGAAGTTGTCAGTTTACTAACTTTTTTCCTAGTTTCTGTATGATATACAACAAGCTTCAAACATGCATATCAACTCTTTGTGAATGTATATATACTTTTTTTTTCTTAAATTAAATTTACTGGTTGTCTCTCTTTTGGATGAGAAAAATGGGGTTTTCCACACATACCTAAATGCTTTCAGAAATCATTCATCTGGCTCATTCTGTGATTTAAATGAATCAGCTAAGTGAAGTGGTGTAAGGGGAAAAAAATATCTCTTGCATCACATGAGCTGCTGAACTGGTCACACCAGTATGTTTCTTTTCAAAAAGCTGTCTCTCTTACCCATCTGCAACACTGAGAATGATTTTAGCCCACATAAAAATTAGACTGGAAGCTAGGGTTTTTTTCAAGGATCAATTGGAGATCTACTTGAGTATTAATGTTAGTGGATTATAAATATGAAATTACTGTAAAGGGTAATATCTATGGTTTGCCTCATTTAGCATTTTGTATTTGACCGGGTTGTGCAGTAGAGTTTCAGGAATGATATAAAGAAAGGCAAATATAAAGCAATATTGCTGCTGTAATATCATCTCATCTGTAATTCTTCAGTTGTTTAGGAATTTCCTTGGGAGGAGCTTACCCTGTTGAGCTTAATAACTCTTTTATTAAAATCACTTTTTTCATTATTCCATTAGTCTAATCATGTTTTATAATTATTCCTAATTTTGACATCCAAAATGTGCTGAGGTAGTGAATTCCACAATTTAAATATGCATAGCATGACAAAGAAAATCATGTGTTTATCCCTTTGCCATTTCATTTGTTGCTCCTGGTTTTTATATTATGGGAAATATGAATAATCATTCCCTATTCACTACTCAGTCATCTGTTTTCCAAGCTGAAGCTGATGCTGGGAGCCTACAAGGGTAACTAATAAAGGGACTGCCTAAAAAGCTGAAGACATACGCAATTATTTAGGATAAGGAGTTAGCTGGGATAATTCTGAAAAAAGCTGAGGGGTACAGGTAACTAGGGAACTACAATCCATGCACACTTGCAAATGCTACAAAAAATATGTCAAGTCTCCATTTAAGCAGCAAGAGTGTGGATAGCCCTTTCTGAACAACTCCAGTGAGTTTCATTGGTGCTCTGATCTGACAGAAGCCAAATCATGCCTGTAAACTGGAGAAATTTCAGATAAGAGCAGCAAAAAGTACTTTTAAAGACTTAATAACACTGGATCAAGGGGAATAGATAAAAGAGTGATACAGCTTTTTTAAATATTCGCTCTGGAAGAGGCAAACACAGAAGCTTGTTCAGAAACCTTAGAAGGATATAAACACTGATAAACAAAGCTGGTGTGAGAAAAATCTGAAAAGTTGTAATTAAAAAAAAATAGAAAAAAATAAAGGAAACTTCAGAGATGCTGTCGGGAACAGAGAAAGTTTATGTAACTATGAAATAATCTGCTAAGAGAAGCAGTGGAAGCCCTTCATGCTCATCTTGAAAGTGAAGTTTGACTCTGTATTAGTGAAATATGCTGTAGAAAATCCTCTTGCATTGATAGAAGAGATGACCTGACAAGACTTTTTCCATCTCTGTTTTCCACAGCTCTTTGATCTTAATTGATAAAATCCATTTTACAGAAAACAAACCACTCCACCTTTCATTCCAGGACCAAAGTGAAACTCTGTGAAAAGAAGTCTGCAGTAGTAATTTATTTTAAATCAATTTTACTTTGTACTAATCATGTATAGCTTCTCTGTGTAATTCCAGAGCAACTTTAAACTCTGCTCACTGAGGGACAAAAATAGAATACTGAAGAACAATTTCCATACACCAGCATGCACTAATCCGCTGGCACCAAGAAAGAGCTGCTCTCACTAAATGACTAATAAAATCCCTCTCCATCTCTGTAAAATGACAAATGCCTGGTTTTCTCCTTATTCTAGTCTGCATTACACCACTCCCTGATTAATTACATGAGATACTCCTGAAGATATATCGCATTGTGCAAAGTATAATTGAAACCAGAGATACCATATTATAGTGAGGGCTATAACCATGCTTCCATTAATATAAAGCCTTATTATCAGCAGTTTGTAATTCACCCTTAGATTAGATTTGACATACAAGATCTTAGCCTGCAGAGGATTTTTTCCCCGAACAAAATTAAAGGAAAATCTTTTTTGGCCATCAGAGATATAAAAGTGGAATGTGGATAGAGAGTTATGATTTAAAATGCATTTTGTGTATATATAACTGAAAAATATCTTGGTTTCTGAATAGAAGATTATGTTGGCTATTAGTTCATAACACGAGCTAGACATAAAGCAAGTAAATTTTCATGAAAAAGCGAACTAGCTCTTTAATATGGGAATTTAAAGTCTTTAAAATATGTTAGCAAATTCA